TTCTTGGTATAGTTTGATAGCCAGCTCCATAAGCTTTAATTTGATATCGGGGTTTAGGTATCTACAGCTTAAACTACACGCGTTACATCGCTTGCGCGCGAGACACCCCTGAAGGTATACTGTAACCTTAAAAGCTCTTTGCGTCGTATTTTTCTGCACTGCTTGTTTTGTTTTCATTTCGCTACAGCCAAGATCATATACATTCTCTTGTTACAGCTAAATGTGCAGCGTATTCACAGTTGATTACTTTTTATATAAATTAGCAGAGAATTAGTATAGATTCTATACTAGAATATTAATTTGCGGCGACGCCCCCGAGGTTGGTGTACTTCAACAGACATGGCGGCCAATATAAACACTTCCAAAAATGTTTAAAAACATAAGCCTCCTCAGGTATAGTTCTTGCTTTCTTCAGTTAGAGATTTAAAGGTTTGCTTTGCGTCAACCCGCGTTAAACTGCACAATCTAATTTCGAAGAAATAATTGCGAGCTCGGCTCTTTCTTCCTGTCTCGCGGATTCATCGCTCGTACTGAACCCCAAACAAGAGAGGCTGCTGGCTATCCAAGAAAAGGAAAGCAATCTAAATGCGACGATTTTCTCAAACTTTACTTAAGAACAACGCTTCGTAGAGTAAATGGTTCACATTTTTCAGACGAGACCAGATGCCAAATCATTTACATTTTTATGCCGCATATCTTAATTTCTTTTTCACCAGATTAAACGGTCCAACAAGTTGTAAATAATATCCTTCAGAAATATATAGCCTTCCCCCAAACCCTCAGAAAATATACCTAAGACAGCGCCTGTTACAGTCAATCCCAAATACCATTTTTTTAGCAATACATTTATTCCTCAAAGTTAGAAAAATAGCCATTTGGGGTCCATGTTAGTACGGTGAATTCAGTTAGTAAACCTCCAAATATAATCCCCTCAAAACGCGTTTAAGCTTTCCATAAATAATATAAATCACATAAGCCCATGGGCTTAACTGTGGATTTAACTCTAAAAACAAAAAATATATTTTTTCTTCCAATTATTAATCTCCTGTTGTCAGTTTAGCTCGTTTTGTTTTTCATATCCTCACGTTAAGGGAGTTTTACAATTCAGTACGAAGCAGCATTTCAACCGAACTAAATCTATCTGTAGGGATAGCCATTTTGAGGCGCATTTGAAGGTAAGTTACTCTACTGAGACTAAGACATATGAAGTTAATCAGCGGAAGACTCGTTTTTCCCTGATTTGTTCTTAGCTCATTCAGTTAACCAATAGGCTTCGAAAAGAACGGCAATTAATATGCGTTTTACTACGTTGAGAAAGTCACATGACCCGTGCAACTGTGCAGTTGGCGCTCTTCTGTTTGGGTAACCAGACATCGCGTATTTGCTACCGTATTTATACCGTGCTGTGCCAGAGGTAAATTTTCATCCTTTGCGAAGACATGTTGTGTTGAGCGTACAATTTGGTGAGTACTGACGGACACTTTTTTTATCATACTGATATGAAGCCATTACAAAGGAGACTATCTAAGGGGTGGTTAATGGTTAATGGTAAATGCGAGATCGACTTCCTGTCGGCTTTGCCAGACAGCGAGACTAGCATTTTCCTTTGCGAGCCCGAGACATGGACTTGTTCAATTGCAAAATCGAGACTTCAAAGTGTTTTAAACGCAACTCGAGACGTTCAAGTTCTAAGACGTCGAGGCGTCATTTACACCCGCTTTCAGTGTTACGCGCACAGGTGACATTTTTCGACATGCTGTGTAACCTGGGCAACGCCAAAAAATATAAGCACGACAGATCTCTTTACGGTCGAACTCGAATTTTAGTGACGAAAGATAGATTTATTTGACATCAAACCGGTAAACTTAGGAGTATAACGAAGTCATTCCGGGAGAAATAAATCGACTGATTTGAATGTTTACACCTTGCGAATATTAAAAGCGGCAGCTGCCCAATTCTAACGGAAGTCACTATTGAGAACCGATCGACTACACTAAAATCGTTTGAATTATCCCATAAATCGGGAAACATGCAAAGTCGAGCAATCTTCTTCAGCCATTTGAGGTCAGCAATTATCATTTAATTTTTTTTCCTTCTGCTGAAAACCGGAAAAATTACCAGTTTCACAGTTGAACGGTCTTTCAGCCGTTTACACAGCATGTCGAAAGATGGTCGAAAGATGTCGCCTATGCACGGAACACTGAAAGCGGGTGTATATACAGTATATATGAAAAGCAAATCCGTACCATGAGACTTTCTTAGCCTTGCAAAAAAATCGAGACTGGGAGACGCAGATAACCGCTGAAACAACGAGAGTGCGAGGCCCGACGAAAATTTTGTAAGACCCGTGGTTTTGGAGGACCATTCGCCACCCCTTATAAATGAACCCAAGGTCTTAGTTTGCTGTTATGGCCAAGTTAGCGAAGGAAATTAGTGTTAATCTAGCTTGTTGTATATGTCAGCCACACGATTATCAATTAATCAACATAACGAACGTTCATGTGTAACCAAAAAACCTTTTAAACCAGTCAGTCATTTTTTTGATAAATGCATTAAACGAATTCTTGCTTTGTGGCGCACATAATGAGCATTAGTTTAATGAACCAAGCTTTCGGAACTGAGCGAGTGTATCGGGATGCATATCTGTACTTAAAAATTTTGTGTTCATCAAAGACCATGATGTTTGTTTTGTAACCAAATCATTATGATATTTATAACGTTCATTGGTCTTACACTCGGTGGACTTTAATTTGTGAATTCTTTTCTTGTTTTCCTGCGGATCCCATTGTCTTAAATGTAGCTCAATTTTTTTTCGATTATTATTCTTCTATGGTAAAATTCATTAATCGCCACGCGATGAATGTGAGTCCAAAATAGTTCTGTAAAATGTAGATTGTTATCAGATAAAAGACAATGATAAGCAAACGCTGCTTTCCATATGGTTGGTACAGCCGTTAGGATCGATTTGATCGCAGAAAAAGTTGAGCGGTCGGTACAACGCCAGCTTCCATGTGCCACGATTGCTAGGAAATAAAAAAAATAGCCGAGAGGACCTGGATCAAACCATGAAGTCTTGGAAGAGGTTTTTGCTACGATCGCTAAAGAGTTTTTCCCAAATATTATCGCACGATCGCTGAACTTTTTCCTCAATGATCGTAGCAATGATAAGCAAAGCCTGAGTCAAAAAAGGCATATTTCTGATTACCACAATAATTGCTAGCTACCTTGGAATATGATGATGACCGCATTTACTCAGGAACACGAGTGAGTGGTCTAAGACAGGTGGCTTAGTGAACTTTTGAGGGAGAAAAAGAGCCCAACATTTAACACTTAGTTTATAAATGTTCCAAGATGCTTTTTCTTTCTTTATCGTAAGCGTCAAACGTTACTAAATAACCAGAATGAACGACCGAGTGCAATAGTAGTTTAAATGACGTTTTTTTGGAAAAAAGTAGCAATTGGTTCTGATTAAACTTTCACATAAATTTAAGCAAACTCCGTAAAACAGATTCTGAGCTATTTTTGAAAATTGCAAAATTTCACATTTTTCGTCTGCTTTGGTAAATGCGGATCCGATTGATTCTTCACTAGCCGACTAAATTACTTCAGTTCCTTCGGTAATAAATCTACTGGATGATGTGGACGTTTCAGGGTGACTTACACGATGCGACTGTAAGAAAAGGCGGCAAAATTGTTGGCGCGGTGTCGCCGCGGTGTTCACAGAGCGAGTTGAATGAAACATGTGGGTGAAGGAAGAAAGTAAGAAAGAGTTTTCTTTTGAATCATTCGGCCCACAATCTCCTCTAAAGTCGTCTATATTCTGGGAAATTGTGACAAAGGATAAAGGTTGGCGGTTAGATGCGAATAACTGCGGAATTGTGCATTATATTCCTCGGGCAAAACAAATGAAGCAAGGTTTTGTGTGCTTGTAAAATTGTCTACGACCTAGCCTTGCGGCTGTTTGTTGTCATCAAGACTGCAAAATTAATTGCGTCGAAACGAAAATGAGCTCAGAATCGATCGAACAAACTAAAGGACATAAAGAAACTATCAACAGCTACACAGAAAGGGAAAGAGATTGGTCTTCGAGGAGAATTCATTGTCGGATGGTAAATTGTACCGTCAGGAAAGTTCGCTGAATCCGATAGTTTAGTGGGCGGCATTGAAAGCTTGGCGCAGCTGGAATGGAAAAGCCTTGTCCATAGGTAAGGTAACAAAATTTACCGACTGAATGAGTCAGGGTTATTGTATGGCAAAAATCTCTTTTCCTTCTTCAAACGCAACTGCATTGTGTTGGCGTACCACCCCTACCATCATCTGAGAAAAATGTCTCGTACGTGTAAACTGGTCGCACGTTACCAAATAAGGTCAGCTGTCTGTCACGCGCTGATGACTCCAGATACCAATAATAACTACCTGTGTAAGAGAAAAACGGGGATTTCATTTAATCGGTCTTTTTGTCGTTTCTTTTAAAGCTGTTCTTTGCTAAGCAAAACCTCGTATCGTCAGCTAGACTTCCATTTTCGTTTCTAAACTAAATGCAGATTCTATAATAGCTGTACAAAAATCCGGAAATTGGTTTCTAAACATGAAATTATTTTTGGTCAATTAAAGAACCTACATCCTAAACCACTTTGAGACTTGCATCTGAAATCTCGACTATGTATTTCACATGATTTTAAGATTCTTCTGAGAGCCATCGCACTGTTCATTCAGTGATTAACTCTAACGGATCCAGTAATTTGATTGCGGGTTAAGGTGGCTCAATAGGGTAATGATTTATCGCGTTCCGCGCGCTAGTGTTATGTTTTGAAATCTGTTTTTACATTCGTTTTAACACCCAGTCCTCTCAAACCTATTACATGTAATAGCCAATGTTGATACATTGATTTACAATCATCTCTGTTAAAATCTTGGCATTTAATCTTGAATTATAAATGCCCAAACAAGTGCTTTTTTTCCCGTAATTATGGCTTTATTTGTGGTTTTCTTGAATTTCCTTCGGTGAAATCTTCCAAATTTTTTTACAGTACATTAAACCCGGTGGGGTACGAATTTCAAACATGCACGAAAAAAGTAGGGTTTGTAAAAGCATTTTTCTTTTTAGATTTTTGCAAATTTATGTCTTTTAGCACTGCGGAAAAACTGGTCAGATAGATTTTCCTGAAAAATGAGCTCCAACTAGAGTAAAAGTATTTATTACCCGTCTGCCAAATTTTACGAAATTTCACTGAAGGAAACGCGAGAAAATTGCCACCTTAAGTTGGGTACCACTGGGTTCTTCGTTTGCCGAATCGAACGTTCTATGTTCTTAGATTGCAGTTGATTCGTTTGTGATAAGAAATGGCAGATTAACTCCTTTTTTACGAATAAGTAATAATCTTGAACGAATGAGATACTGGACGCTTTCCATTCAACCAGAAATTCTGGAATGCAGATGGTACTACTGGAGTTTCCTTGGAAACTGCTTCATTTCCGAAATGCGAACCGTTTAATAAAAAAAAAATTCTGGACATTCCAGGGAGAAAATTGAATGGAACTGAAGTTCTCGGTCAGAAATGGTCTAAATTTAGGTATACCTCAGGAGGTTGTGCTCTTTTTCCGGCGAGTTTTGAAAAAGCTTTTCCATTCGCCACTGGAAATTTCCGGAAATGCAGGCCGGACTTTTTGGTCTAATGGAAATCGCCAGTTGTTTTAAAACACGTTCATTTATTTTCATTTCACTGAAATGATTGCAACGATAACTTTTACTAAAAATTATCTAACTGTCGAGAGGAGGCAGAGACTTCAGCTAAAAGTAGTTTTACTGACTCGACAAAGAAACGAAGGTCGAAGATTGACTTAACTGTATGTATCGTGCATACATGTATGTATGCCTCAGGTTATCTGCTGTAATTCATTTGTGATATTAGTCGTAAAAGGTGCGTGGGAGGCCTCAAAATAAAGAGCAATAATGGTCTCCCCAATGGGCTTCAGATTTCATAGATATATTTTTTGCTCAAGTACATGACCATCAACTCATCGAAGTACTTGTACATCATTATTTTAGCAATCCTCTTTCTTTCCTCGTTTGACAACAATTTTCATTATCTCTGATCTCAGAAGAAATGCCAGGATATTTTTACTGTGTAAGCTTCGGTGTCTGAAAATGTTTAGTGACTGGCAACGCTTGCTGTTAATAGTCTATAAACGGTTTAATTGAAAACAAAATGCCTCCTGTGGTTTCTAGAAGAAGTAACAGTTTTTCCTACCAACACATTAAAATCAAAGACTTAACGAAAGTCAGCTGTCATCAATAATTAAATCTTTTAGAATAGAAGCAATTTTTCAGACAGGTTTTGCGGTAGTCAGTGCTTTGAAAAGACATTAAAGATATATATTTGCTTGTAATTATTCCGACTTTTTGGTTTTAACCATTAATACCGGTTTGTCAAGAGCTAAGCAGGGTCACCAAACAATTAAGTAAAAAATTTTGTTTCGAAATATTATCCATTAAAAAATATAAATAGGGAACGATAAAGATCGAGATTGACAATGAAGCCCAACGCAATGCAAAAAGCCTATTATTGTTAAGCTCCATTCAAATACAGTTGCTTGCTGCGGGCGCGTTCATTTCATTTGTTAAGTTGTTTATTAGAACGGAAGGCTTCGTTTTGCACTAGTTCATCCGAAGAAAGCCATTTGGTGGGAATTCATTAAAATTCTTGAACTACGAAGCAAACAGCAATGCACCGAGAACTGTAATTGGTTAGTTTCGATTAGCAAACATTGCAGGGAGTTAAATGGCGGAACCGTTTATACAAATCGCCCTCGGGGCAGGAACAACTGATAATGGTATCACGCAAGAAAGCCCACTTGTGTAAAAAAACATCACGCGAAGTCGAACGATTCTTTGCTATTACTACAAAATAGAGCAACTCTCACAATACTAAAGATAACCGGGAAATGTGAATCGAAAGACCTCTGTTTTCTTGAGGTTTGGTGAGTTTAAAATCCGACACTAGACCCTATAACAAATTGCTTGGCCACTGGTTGAGTGATCATCTCGTAGCAATTGGTCAAAAGAAACAATAAACATTTATAGACAATAGTCTAGTCCCTGCTGCGTGGTTAAATGTCGCCAATTAAGCAAAACGAAAGTTGATTTCTAAACATCACTCGAACATGCTAGACACGACTGATCTATATTTAATTTGTGTGAGAAACTGACTTATATATAACTGCCTGTTACTGGGGTATTTATTAGTCCAAAGAGTCAGGAAATACAGTCAATAGAGCACTATCGAGGGGCTTTTTGACCGGTAAGTAACAGCTGCTGCGAAATAGGTATCGGTACCCACCTTCACCGGTGGTGGATAAAACGAATTCCGTCGTCGTTGTAACCAGTTACTTTTGCGGATTATGCAAGTAAATATGTAGTTAGGTCTTGTTTTATCTAAAACAACGCCCCATAAAGAGCCGGCCCGGTGAGGTGACTTAAATTTCCAGATCCTAACACCAGCCCCAAGTATACTACAAGCGACGAAACCTTCGATTTAGCCCAACTTTCTCAGTTTAGGAATGGTGATACTTATTGCGTGATATATTTGTCAAACTAAGGCATACAAATTTAAGTGAAGCGTTCACTCAAAGTTCTTGTTTTAAGTACGGGACATGCAAATTTAAGTAAAGGATCCACTGAAATTCTTTTTGAGCAAAGAGCGACTTGCCAGTTATTAACTTCATATTTAGCAGCTTCACTCTAGTCAAGTTTACAGCTATATCGTTGATTCAAAATGTGGCCTCCTACGTGTTTCAGTGGTTTAGTCTCCCAGTTGGAACACCAGTGATATTAATATAAAATCGGGCGCTTCCCTCGGGTAGTTTCTTGAACGACATTATATCGGACTAAACTGTAAAAATATGACTATCACGAGAAAGCCTTCGACGAATTAAACTGACTGATTCCACCTTAGCTGAATTGAAATCTTGAGATGCTATCTCGCTACTGAATGTTCTCTGTTTGTCTCATTGTTGGCTTGTGACTGTAAGAGTAATATAATTGAATAGAATCAGTCAGTCAGTTTTGTGATATGAATAGCTTTAATATCAAAGTGGTGAATAAAATATACCATGTAGAAAACACTATATAGCCGAATTCGCTTAGATTGGTTACATCTGAAAGAGTCGAATTCGAGTCGAATTCGTATAGCGTTGTGTTATTAACACGCTGGTTCAAACAATATACTTATTCTAACTTGATTTTGTTTAGTTTGGAACCAGCAGTTTGGCAAACATGTTTTTACTTTATTTGAAAATTATCACTAGATCTATAATAAATTACAGACTAAGAATTAATAGACTGAAACGAAACAGAACAAAACGAAACGGAATGATGCAGAATCCCTCGGCAGAACATTATAAACAGCTTAACTGGAAGCCAAGAGACAAGATATTTCTTTACTTTTGAAATCGTGGAAACTGATATCAAAGATTTTAAGCTATCGAAGCATTTCTTTTTCATTGAGTTAATTCCGTGTCAGACGAACGCAATTAAAATTGGGTGTTTTGAAATGAAAATCAAAATTGCAAATAAGCACTGATTAGAATAAAACATGGTAGCTAGTCAGCTAGGTCTTAAGCAACATAGAGCTGAGACATAACTCAAGCGATAGTTTTGGAAAGAGACTTTAAAAGGCGAGGCAACTGCCGGATAAATAGGCTGGAATCACTGCTCGTCCCGTGCATGCGCCTGGAAGATACCTGCAAGATTGCACACGTGACGTAAATTGAAGAGTTCTTGGACAGAAAATCTGATAGTGTCAAGGAATATTATTGCAGAATTTCAGTGTCTAATTTCTCGGCCCCTTTGTCATGCTGGACATATTTTAAAGTTTCAAGAAGAGACTAATACTCTTGTTTGATAGGGCGGTTTATTCTCACGAGTCTAACGGTCAGCTCGTGTTCTTGGAGCCTTCTTATACTTGTAGCAAAATACAATTAAAAAGTAGACTGAGATAATCATCACCGTCCACGCCGACTGAATACAAATTGGCAGCTGTTGGGTTAGTAATTTGGTTGCCGTGGGAACCGCAAGTTTTGCTTTTACAGACGGCCTTAATTCAGTTGAATACAATAAATCTCTTTTTGGAAGTTTTAAAACAACGCTGCATACTTTTTTAAAGTTGTTGTTTGCACGTTTACTCACCAAAACACAGCACGACTCAACACAACTGAGCACAAAATCTACCTAATAATACCGTTACATTGCAAATTAAATATGTAAAAGTCAATTATTTTTAGAAACATTTTCTTTACTTAACATTGTCTATTTATTGCTTGAGGCTTGGTCAACAATATTGGCAGAAAAGCAACCATTACAGAGACACTCAGGTCGAAGAGGAATTAGTATTTTCCTTGGAACACCCTTGGAAGAATCTCGCCATTGGTTTCATCCATCTACTTTTTCTCTTCATTTCAGAGCTTTTCGTTATTTGCATATGAAAAGACAACGTTCAGGTTTATATCTTTGCACGAAAAAACTTGCCATAATTGTTTACTTTCTCCAAAAAAGGAAACCTCTCTTGTACTTTAGCTTTTATGTCGAAGAGGCGTTAAGCCTTCACGTGAACGAAAAACAGGCTTCACGGAAGAAATTTGCTGTTTTGCTCCCAGATGTCACAAATCATATTAAAATTCCTGCACTGTGTGGTTTTGCGGGCGACTGGTATTGTATGGTATCAAATGTGATAGACAAAAGTGGTTGACTAAAGAAGTGCATTGAGTTAATTGCTTCATCCTTTTTGTTACTGAAGTTTTCAATGTCTTTTCTTGTTAGATAGTCCCGACTGCTGATATCGATGAAATACATTTATTTGTTGTAAAAAATGTTCAACTCCTTTCTTCACCATACTCTCTTCGCTGCATCACATATATTCTATCAGCTATCATATCTGTAGAAATATCAGAATTTGTAACGTGGAAAGGAATACAATGTTGTAGGATGCTTAGCTTCGCGACGAGCAACTTAGCACATAACTTAACAGCTATATCGTTGGTAGGTATTATTTTAAATATGCAGAAAACAGTTTAGGGAATTGCATCACACTATTTTCAACAAGATTCTCCGAGTCTCCACGAATAATTTAAACGGCAGAAAATTACTTATTGTTGAAACAAGATTCTCTGTTCTACCATGTATTTACATAGATAACAAACTTGTGTGTTCTTTTGCAATACGGCAATCAGCATGTACACATTTTGTCAGCAGGTAAAAACAGTCGGTTACATGTTGCTTTTGCGATACGATTTAAGGAACTGGACAATATCAATATTGCAAGCATGGAACTAGTGAGTGATAAATAGATTTTGAGCAATAAAAAGGATACAAAACAAAGCAAAAATAGCTTAGTAACAAAAAAATAACCTATATCTCATAGTGAAATGGCGCTTTTGAATACAAGTGTAAACTTAAGCTTAATATTGTTTTCACGCAGTTGGTAATTAATTTATACGTTCTTTCTGCTAACTGTTGCCAAAAAAGCAGCTTACGGGTATGCAACAGTTTACTTTTTACGTTTTTGCCCTTTGAATTAAAAAAGATAGGCAATGGGGGAATAAAAATTGGTTGCTAAACGAAATACGCCTTGGGCAACGTCCACTCTAAATAACTGAGTTAAATTGCGTTGTTTAATATTTTTTTGTAAATATACAGGAGTAGAGAACCTTTGAATACGGTAATTAACGTTCCCAGGATGCTGCTAAATAGCATTTGTCGCTAAGCTCAGGGGCTGGGTGAGAGATTTGCAGGGGACAGTTTTCCACCAGCAAGGTATTAATTTATTTTTCAGAGCAAGCTTTCCGGTGTGGAACAAACAGCTCCCGACAAGGTCTTCAAAGGAGATAAGTGGGTACGCTGAGTTTATTTAGTGTAGTCTAGTCTTGACACACGCTGTATAAACGCAAAGTCGTGCAAAGCGATTTTACCGGGCGATCAAAGTTAGGATAGGTCGACCCACCTTTGGAATTCAGACATCGCATACGCGCAGCGTTGCGTGAAATGTTGCACCATCTTTTCAGGCCTTTATTTAGTAATATTATGTTTAAGTACACTGCAAGATGGTAGTACATGTAGTGTTCATATATGTTCATTTTGCGCCAAATTAACGCGCAGAGAAACACGTGTTATTGGGAGAACCCCGTAATCTGCGAATTAGGGGAATGGAGACTAGACTCATTAAGGGACACCAAATTGTTCATGCTGAAAATACTACATTGATGATTCATGAAAACCATGGAATAGTGGAAAAAAGTCAAACGAAATCCTTATCTCACACTTATATTGTAAACTGTATAAAACTGTAAGTGAACGTTCTTTAGTGAAAGCTGTTCTCTTATTTCAACCATATGAGAGCATGTGATACAGAGTTCTTCCGCCTCTCGGGAAGAGGAAGTCCAGAAAAAAAAATTTACCCGTTGTTGTTTTCTTCGATAATCTTAGTTTACCTTTGCTTGAGACTATATTGCTCAGGTGCATTGAGTGCCTGAGGAGAACAGCACAAAAGACGGGAGCCAGGCGCTAGAAAATTATTCTAATCCATTGTCTTTGTGAAATAAACACAAGCTAAGGTCGTTCTATAAGTTACTTTTTACTTTTCCTTCATTGGGTTCTCTTGTTAATTGTGGCAGTATAACATATTGTTTCAACAGTTTTAAAAACAATTGAAAATCCTCTTTCCGTCTGGTCAAGGAGACGGGCCAGTGCCTTTAAAGTATGTTTACTTTAGCATGAGTTTTAAACAAATAAAGGTCAGAAATGCAGCAAATGTTGAAAGCCCCGAAGAGAATACACTCTAAAAAGGAAAGATAATTTAAAGGTAAGCCTTTCACAACTGATTTAAAATCGTTTTATCTATCTGACTGAAAAATAATTTGTATCTATTCAAAGAATTAAGTTTAGGTTTCTCGCCATTTGTTCTGAGCTCTGTTTGCGTGGAAATTTTCAGAACACACGTGAAGTTAGAGCGTCCCTCATCTGGAAATTAAATCGAAAGTCTCGCTCTTATGTCATGCTCTCTAAAATTCCCGCATCCATTCACGATAGGTATTGGCCATTTCTTAATGTTATTCACGAGCAGTGGTCATTGAAAATTTGACACGAGCGATATTTGTTTTGTCGCCCAGGGCCGGTAAATCCGATATTTTATTCGATGCCAGAGGCAACTCCTTTTTTCATTTCCGCGGGAACTGCAAAACTAAAGCGAGCTAAAAAATGGTGAGTTTAAAAAGGTTTTTATTTACGAATTTTACGAAGAATCATTTCGATTTGAAGTTCAAATTGAACTTCGGCAGTTTTAAATAATTAACGAATATTGTTTATCTTTTCTGTAGCATTTTTTCTTACGTATATTTCACTGATAAACCAGTTTTGTCACTCGCACTCGTAAAAACAAAGTTGACCTTTATAGCAGTGTAAAACAACCAGGACTATAGAAGTGTCGCCGGCTGTTGTTTTTCAACCACTGGAAAACCAGCTTGTATCGTTTCAGCGTTTCTTTAGTCCGAGAAGATCGTTTTGTTTACATCATTGATTTGAATTCAGAGCTCGATTTTCTATTTTTTTAAATTGATGATTCCGAGCATCGTTTGGTATGTTTTGATTGAGCTTTCTCGAAACCGACGTAAACTAATTTCAGCGTCTTGGGTGAGCGTAATAATTCAGTTTCAGAGCTGAGGAAAATTACTTCGCTTCCGTAATTCTAACACATGTTATACTGAATACTGTTATTCAGTACCAGTTAAATGTTAAATAATCTGATGGTATGTAACGACAATACGTAAATTCGTACTTTATCATATCATGCAATATTTTCTATCAAGCCGGTCTGGATGACAACAATTGAATTTTTGTTTAAATTTGTACGGCGGGCAATAATACAAATTATCAAGACCGCAAAAGTGATGGGGTTCCAAGAGCGTTTCAGTAACTTTAATAAGCATATCTCTCTAAACCGAAAATAAATATATGGTTAAACGGTTCCTTTACAAACCCTTTATATCTTAAAGATATATCGTCAAATCGAGGGCTAACATCTCCTTACTGAAAGTAGGTTTATATGGTCAGCGCATGTAATGCTTTTAAACCCAGAAGGATAAATCTCTTTTCTGAACATAAAAATGCGTACATAGAACTTGTAAAGTGCAAAGTAGTACGTTACTGGCAGCGTCAAGCGTAACTGCAACCAGAAGTTCATTAGAACATGTATATGAAATAATCAGGCAGCCAACAAAGGTGATATTAGCGTAATGTCCCAGACATAACTCTCACATTTTACAGCGAAAGAAATCACCGTAATTAATCAGTATTGAGAATTACTTACTTGAGCTTCCAGACTTAGCAAATCTGTCAATGAAACATAAACACTTTACCCGCAATATCTTAATTATAAACCTGTATTACCCTCACTTGTAGAATTACCGACATGGTAAATTTTAACTGCGGAATTTTTCACAGAAAAGATTCGATATTTTCCAAGCTATAAATTGTGTAGGTATGAAATACTTAATCTAGGCAAGCAGGTCTCATGATGTTTCTTTGGACCCAAGCCAAAATAAAGAGGTCTAGCTAATCTGCAGCAAAGAACCACGTCATTTCTTTCAAGACGGTACGTCATGAAAAAATGGCGACTGTTTTCATGTTTGTCTTCATATAAATCCTTGCTAATCGTCCTCAGACCTGCCTATCCTTGTTCCTTTATTGGATGGTTATTCATTCTTCTTTGGTATACCAGAGGAGACTGTTAAGGTGAGGTTGCCTTCAATTAGAAAGTAATGTTGCACATTGTATGAAATTACTTTCATTAGAAAGTAACCTCACCCTAACAGTTTCCTCGGAAAGAACAGAAATCTGGTATAGTCCCTTTGGTAAATGTTAATTACGTTAGCTTAGCGAATTTTAAAAAGCATAAAAAGTATAACTTTTGTGGTGTTCTTTATGACTGATTTAAGATATTTGGGGGATAATATTAACCTCTTATTAACCGAGGGAAAGGAGAATATTGGCGCGAGGTCGTGGCATTGCGGACTCAGCGCAGCTAGGTCCGCACTGCCACGACCTCGTGCCAATATTCTCCAGTACAGCTCGAGCAAGCTAGGCTAGTAATTAGTTTATTATGTGGCACTACGGCCCTTCATTGAGCCCATGAAAGAACCACTTATGCAGATCGCTCGGATTTACCACAAGACGACCTTTCCATAAAATATAAATATCTATTATTATGATTGTGATGATGATGATGATGATAATGATGATGATGATGATTATTATTAATCATAGTTATTTCTCTTAAACATTGTTCCGCGGGCAGCAAAACTTTCGTCTACTTTTCACTTTCTAGTTGTTTAGTAAGGGTGGCGAATGGTAAATGCGAGACTTTGCAAGACGGCGAGACAACCCTTTTTCTTTGCAACCCCGAAACATTTTGACTTTTTAGATTGCGAGACCGAGACTTCAAAGCGCTTTGAGTGTGAGTGCTAGACGTTCAGACTCATAAAATTCGAGCCCCAGATTTAGTTGAGAGCTAGAATGAGCTTGTACAGCCTTAAGCCAGCTTCTTGGAANGGACGGTACCCTTTAAGTATCGACATAAAAGCATCAATCTTCAGCTACTGGCAAAGATTGAAGCATTCCACTAACAACGTTTTGCCGCGAGAAGCTTTTCAATGTGCAACAAAACATACAACTTTCTTTGACATACAACAGAATGAAGAAATCACTAAAAAGTATAAAACCAGTAACCCAGCAACACACTAAGAATGTAGGATTAGTTATAAAGAAAACACTCAAGAATCAGTATTTACAGAACTGGCTTGAAACCCAGAATGGGTCATCAACAAGTTCAAGAGAGAAATTTACACAAAAGGAAGTTAAAAATAATAATCAATTTGAAAACTACCTGACATTAATTACAAAGCCAGCACACAGAATTAGCCTGACAAGGCTTAGATTAGGATGTCATGCATTTCGAATACAAACTGGCAAATATGAAAATAGAGGAGCATTAATCTCAGCAGAAGAGCGAGCATGTTTAGTATGCAGAGAAAATTGCATAGAACATGAACAGCATTTCTTGATGTATTGTCGGGGGTATACCACATTAAGACGTGAGCTGCACTCACATATTTCAAACGCTGATACCCAGTACCCCNTGACTGACTGACTGACTGACTGACTTACTGACTGACTCACTGACATTAAGACGTGAGCTGCACTCACATATTTCAAACGCTGACAACCATTACCCCAGTTTAAGTCAGTGATAACGAGAAGACGAAGTATTTACTTAGAGCAGAAAACGCGATTACATCTAAAATAATAGGTAAATATATCCATTTAATGTTTCAAAAAAGAAAAGAGATTCTCAATTCACAAAAGTAATTAGCACTATGAGTTTCCCAATTTATTGTATACCAATATGGTAAATATTATTTTGTTTTATTATTAGTTAACGTTGAAACCTTTATTGTAACTAGACCAATACCTCCCTTTGGAGAGTAAGGCGCAATAAAGATATACTATTACTATTACTATTATTACTG